CCGACGGGCTTCAAAGATCTATCCGAAACGGTCACCTACTTCAGTCAAGTCCCGATACCCAAGATTACTCATCTTCAATTCAGAAGTAATACCTAGTATATGTTTCCGATTATTTCCAGTAATTTTTAAATACGCATGTGTTTATGAATATTTATGAATAAATACTGCCCACACAAACCGAACTGAGTGCCCAAACTGTGCGGCATTTTTTAACTTTGTTAGTAAACATTTAGATTTGGGACCAGATCATTTTGCCCACATTAAGCGAATATTCAGGGGTATTTTGTATTTTATGATGCAAGGAACGGGTTTGCATCCGGAATTAGTAGTATATGGAGTAAAAATAAATTTTAAATTGTAGAGGTATTATAGGTATTAAATTAATCACGCTCGAAATAAAAGAAGTAAAGAATACCGCGTACAAAATTACAATAAATTTTCATAGTTACGAGTATAAATAAATATTGTAAATATTTCTTAACAATCAAAAATAGCGCAATTCAAATGATGTGCTCCAAGTGCTTATGAAACAGAGCACCAACTTATTTTTAATTAAGTTAATATTTGTCTTTGAATTAACATAAAAATTTAAACTTGAAGAGTAAAATTTATGAAATTATAATTTGCAACTTGAAAAACTGCAAACTTAAACTGGGTCATATTAATATGAATTATTCAAGCAAATATTTTTCATTAACTTTAACAAAGTTTGTATAGAAGAAATTCGAATGTAACTGTTTTTTTCTCCAGTAAGAACTTAATTATAATTTTATTTACTAAGCTATTTGTTTTATTAAATTATTAATAGAACATTATAAAAGTATCCACAGAAATGAATGACAAAATTAATAACCAAGGGTTAATCGCAGTACTAAGAATTAATTGATAATAACTAGTGACTCACGATATTGAAAGTGTAAAAATCCGTGATGCTGCATTATACAGCAGATAGATATAGAATTTGAACAATCTTTTGTAATATAATTCACATTTGATTAAATTGAAGTGGATTAAGTTTTCCATTTTAATCGCTCGCCAATAATTTAATACAATTTGGTTGTATTTGAAAATGAAAGGAAAAAATTGAATTTATAAATTCGAGATATTTGTAAAACATCACACTTAAGTATATAATATGAACATATATTATTTCGTGTTGACAAACATAAAACATTAAATCAATGATTTTTCTTCGAATTCTGTTCGAGTGCAATAACTTGATCCACATTGAACCACGCTATACGTAGAATGATTCTTGGAATTTTCACAAAAGTTCCAATTTCTTAATAACAAATCAAACTGTTTTCACTTTTCAACCACATATCGATCAATATCGATCGATGTCATCGTTAGTACAATGTAACATTGAAAATAACATGTTTCAAAACCGTCTTCGATAGAGAACTATATGCATATGAGTACCGGTAAAACCACTAAATTTGAAGACGTCGATTAGTCGCGGACATACCTCGTGGGTTTAAAACGGTGAGTTGTGAATTGTCACGTGACACGTATTAATGTAAAAATAATTGTTGTATACAGACGAGTATTTACGTACATACAATACATATATTATGTATAATTATTTATGCCGGACCTGTCTATTATGTAATGTTGTATGGAAACGTTGTATATAATGCGGCTGTGCTAAGGACAAACGGAGTATCGCGGAAAACGCAGATATTACCGCGGGTGGAAAATTATGGTTTTGATAATGGTTTTGTCGCGGAACACCCGGAATCACTGAGTGGCAAGAGAATATAACAATACACCATTGCACAATAACACGAATCCTCGCACCTGCGTCTATGGGTAACAACATTGAGGCATCATTTGTTCACGAAAAACTAGTTATATTTTTGTTTAGAACCAATACGTATGCGACAAAATAACTACGTGACGACTCGAGAGGTTGTGGAACGTGCAGGGATACATTTACTTCTAAATTGTTCCGGGCTACAGTAGGTCACATACAGTGCTTGATGCTAATAGTACACAATAATTCATATTCAGCGGATACTCGCAGGTTTTTTGTTTTGTTTTCTCTCTATAAATTTGTAGTAAAAAATATGAAAATTCAAAGAAACTATAACGTTTTGTTTTTGCACTGAAAACGTTCAAGTAGAATGCACACAACTCGAGCAACATACAAAACATGCATACATGTAATCCTGGATTAATGTATACTATAAATGAGGTAAGCATGTGCCTAGAGCTAGATGACGGACAAGGCTATTTTTTTATTTTTTATTCTAAACCGTTTACATACAGCATATTACGAAATTTAAAGCATACCTGAAAAAATAAAAGTAAAAATAAAAATACCGAAATTAAATGATGTGTTTAATATCTTGAAAGTACGAACACTTATGTAGACACTAATGGTATCATTTTGAACATGTAGTTATCAACTTACCATATAATATCATATTTCAAAGCCTAGTCTACATAAATAGTTTTCAAATTATCATTAATGGCTTATGACTTTTTGTACTTATCAAAACAGTAAATATTGTGGTGTGGTTGAAGTGTAGGAAACTTTAATCGATGGGTATCCATTTTAATTACTATATAATCATATATTTTTATTTTGCTAATTGCCAACTGGAGAAAAAAATATTTTAATTGAAATTCGATCCAACAATACCAGAAAATAATTAATTTGCTCGTGTTCCACTTCTACTGGTAATGACGTATACTGTTAAGTTCATAACGTTGGCTTAATTATGAAGAGATAAAGATGGAATATAGTTAGGGATCGTTTCTTAAGAAAATAAATGAGCCTTTTCGAAGGGATTTTAGCGTTGTGCGGTTCAACCAACACTCGCATATCCGGTCGTTTTCGTACCAACTCGTAAAATAATTTATTTATGATTTAATAAAAATAACTGTATTTATAATAATTGATTATAAATTTCTTATATACGAGTATATATATATATATATTGTATATATACTAATTATATATACACAATGTCGGCTTGGCCATGGCCGCGGCTGAATTTGTGTCGAGAAGTACCTCCATTTCTAAAGATTTGTAAATTATCATAATAATTATTGTAATTTATATTTTTATAGTTTTAATTACTTATTACCTTTAGTGGACTAAAAAATTACTGTAAAAAAAAAAATATCATTGTAAAATTTGTAAATCATTAAAAAAATATTAAGTTGTAGGTATATTATAAGATAATATTTATGTAGCATTGTAGTATTATAAATACAGGTACACTTACTAAAAAAATTTAAATACTTGTATAAAGTTAATTTAACTGTTTGTGTATTTTAAATAATGCACCATTGAAAATTATAATATTTTGCACTATTTATTAGCACTTTCTTATCATTTTATGAGATGGTATTTTTGAGGGCCCTTTAAGTGTTAGGTTGACACTGTAACTATGTGTATTTTATATACTTTATATATGTTAAAGTCTAAAACTGTTTTATTTTACGAGTTAGATTAGTTTTATTAATAGATTAATACTATTACTTATCATTACCTGTTTATATTATTTAAGTAATTTTGAAAATATTTATTAATAAAAGCTGAATAAATGTACAATCAATTTTAAATTACCTAACGTAACCTAATTTACGCTTATTGATACTAAAAAAAAAAAAAAAAAATAGTAAAACAATTAACTGTATGATTTAAAGCTTGCAAAGCGGACGTTATGGGAAAGCTTGAAGAGTGTTGTGTGGTCCTTAAGTTATGCCGTCGATTGAAACGAGAAAAATACTTTTATACTATGATAGAATTTTTTATTTGCAACATAGAACAACATAGAAAATGTAATAGTAAAGTTACACTGCAGTAATTTTAACTTTATTTACTTATAGTATTATGACTTTAAAATATTTATAATGTTATTATTTATTAATAGAAAAAGACTTAGGATAGTAAAATAGATTAGAAAAGTAAAAACATAAACCAAATTCAGTATATTGAATGTCAGATATTTAGTGTATCAAAGAGAGCTGGTAATAACAATAACTTGTACTTATTAATATAGTAAATATATTTAAGTTGTTGGGAATATATTGGTTTGATAATGATAATTGTATAAGAATTCACCAATATAACATCTAAATACCTCATTATAGAAATTGAACACGGATAACTGCAGAGCTACACCATAGAGATTAAATGGTTAAGATTCTTTGATTTTCGATTAAAATTTTCAAATGGAAAGTTTATTTTCCATCAGCCTTTGAAATCGCAGTTCATTCAAAATCAAAGTACCCGAACGTCTGAAACATCTAAGAAAAACGTTCGAAGCGCATTATCGAATTCGGCGATCAAATTTTAATTCTCAGCGGTGTACCGATAAATCGAGTACCGGCAGGAAATGAGCAAAAGTTGAGGTTACAAGCTAATCCATTGTTTAAAGGTGTACGTACGCCATTCGAAGTTCTAAGGAGCACGGTTCGAGTTACCGCGACTCGGCTACACACGTACTCGTACGTATGCAAATGACGCTGTTACTTTAACGACGCGGTCATAACACTGATAATAAAATATATATGCACCTACCTGCTATCCATCCACCTTTATGCAGCATTGTCCTTACGATATAATAACCGCACATTAATTAATATATACATATATATTTATATAAAATATCTATCCCCCGTAAAATAATAAAACCGTACCTCAATATATATAAACATTTACATGTACACAGGTACGGTATAGGTGTGTACCTATGTATAATGTATATAATAATATTGTTTATACGATTTTTGTAGGTTCTCCGTCGTCGTCACTCGTCGCCGCCGGTGTGTTTTTGTTTATACTGAAGCCTAACACACACATACACACACATACACACAGACACAGACACACACACACACACACACACACACACACACACACACACACACTCGCACGCGTACACGCTAGGCAAAATAATATACACGTAGCGTGTGCGCGCGTTCCAAGGTAGGCTAGAGTAGCGGCGGCGGCGGCGGCGGAGAGACGTCGCGATCGGATTTGGCGGGGTGGTTTTCAGCGGCGGCGGGTCTTTTCAATCGGTTGACCACATTGCCGTCACGTCGTCACTGCGCGCGCCGTGCGCAAGCCGCTCTTCCACAACCGTGTGTCATCTCGCCCGTTGTCGTTTTACCGTCGTCGTCGTCGACGTACCGTATAGTCGCCGGGCGTCGCGCGCCGTCGTCGTACCGTCGTTACCGAATTCGATTGCATTACGGTTTTATATTAATCGCGCGCGTTTATTGTTTTTTTTTTTTTTTTTCCTATCGTAGTCGTCGACGTTGTACGCTTCGTCGATTTCGTCGGAATTCTTTCTGCACCCTCCCCGGAACCCGAAAACTCGCTCGTTTCGCTCGGCCGTATCGAGTCGCGGAGTTAACGGAAGAACGGACAGAACTCTGGGTTTCTATTTTGTATTACTCTCTCGCGAACCCGAAAACCGACGTTTTTTTTTGGCGAAAACGGTGCGCCGCAAATAATCTTGCAGCCCGGTACGTATACGCGCGCTTTTGCACTCGTCGTTTGGTCGACCCGCGTCATAGGACCGGTTACACTGCTGCAACCGCACCGGGAAAATATCGGCTTTCGTGGACGAACAGTGGCGATTGCATACCGTACTCGCGGATAGCTGAAGACTGTTGGACGTTTGAATTGCCGCCGGTGTCGATCACGCGAAACGTTTAATTGAACAAAAGCTCGAGACACGTTTAGTGAGTACAATATACTATGTTATGCGTGTAATATGTTGCAATAATAATACTGGGAAAATCCCAGTTTTTTCTCCACGTCCGATTGGTCATCGATTATTGATCATCGAGATGAACAAACGCACGTCCACTCGACCGACACGTCAATTGTGACACTTCAACTACATTGTAAAATATGTAACATCTAACTGTGCAGTACGACTTAGATTTTTTAGATTTATCAACACGATTCCACCGCGACACGCTTTAGCAATATATGACTATGTCGTATACGCTTACATATCGTAGTTATAATCTAATTTTATCAGCACACACGTGTTGTCGACAAAAATGTTGTATTATATAATTTTTCTGTTGTTTACCCACTCGTTTTCAAACAAAACCGACGTTTTAGAATTGTATTACAAGTACCAAAATAACGTCTCTTTCTCTCACCCACTCTTTCTCTTTCCGCGTCAGACGAAATAGGTAGCGATATATTGTTATTATAGGCATCGTCATGTTATAATAAAATAACATTTAATCAGTAGCTAACCGGTACCCACCGTGTTTATAAAATGTTAATACATCATACACTGTTTGAGAGAAATGTATCGAAAAACACAATTAACATCGATCTAACCGGATACTCGAGTTGATTTTATACAAATCCGCTTGGTTTGTAAACACATATCTAATAATGATTTGATTGTTTGAAAATTTAGTTCAACAATTATAGTCGTTTACTAATCGCAGACGTAGGGATACTAAATTTTTGACGTGATGAGTCAAGTATACCTATTCAATGCTCCGGTAGGTACCTCTAATTATTGTACTTGAACTTTATAATTGAGCGTTCATTTTTTTAATGTTTAGAAATGTTTCTCATTTTTTATATTACAACGTCTCTACAAAGTTATATATTTATATATATATGAGTATATGTTATAAACAATCAAACTTAGTTTTAACTCTGGTTCGTGTTTCAATAAAGTCATAAGAGCCCGAAACACGATCGAACACAACTTATTTTTTTTTCCCTTGTAATCCTTCGCAATCAGGTACCGAGGAATAAGTTTTCATTTTCCTATTTATCTTTTTTACTGGAGACTTCTGTTAGATTTTATTTAACACCAATCGTTGTTCGCGCAGCGCGATGTCTCGTAAAATGTTTTTTCCGGTAGAAAGGGATCAGACACGGAACGGTTGAGTGCTTGTAATACAAGCAGATGCAATAGCATAATATGTTTGGGCGTGAAAACTGTTTAATTTGACCTTATTTGCATGTACGGTGTTGCAGGTGATTTACTTATTTTAGCAGCCATCTATATAATTAATTTAAAAATAAGACAATTATTCTAATTGGTTTGTGCTCGCAATAAATACGTCATCTGTTAAATTGATCATCTTAATTTTGAAATCAGAAACCAAAATATAATGTACGAGTATTTAGTTAGTTGCATCTCTTATTTTCCATGAAGAATTGTTTTTATTTCAATTGGTACTTTGTGAAGAAATTCTTAAATGCTGCGTAATACATATCATATTTACATTAACTTTGATAATATAATATTATATTAATTAGTATACACTCTAATTTTTGTTTTTTTAAGTTCTTGACTAAACTCATTGGTTTAATTATTTCTGCCTTAAGTTAAAACATCATTATTATTGTTTGATTATAATTTTGGTTGTAATTTTTATTATGATTTATTTATCTAAATACAATAATTTTGTTCTAGCAATAAAGAAAAAAATAACTGACGATATAAGGAAAATAAATGTTAATCTAAGAAAACTTTTTTCTTTTTCTTTTTCTTATGTTATTTTGAAATTTTTTTTTTTTAAAGCATTTTTATGTGTAAATATTTCATTATTATATAACTCAGTTCTTATTAATTGTTACACTTTATACTTAAGAAAATATTTTAAATTTTAAATACCTTCATATAAAAACTACAATACCTATAGAAATGTATTAGTTACAAACATAAATGTTGTATAATATTCAAATCTTATGCATTTTTAATTTTAAAATAACTTAATTAATCTAAAAAATATAATTAATGATTAAAATTTCTCTGAAATTTGACAGAATTTTTAGTTAGAATAAGTTAGTAACATACTTTTAATTAAATATAGTTTAGTTTTGTTTTCAGTTTTTTTGCATATCTAATAATAAATAAGCTGCTGAACTAATATTTTTTATGTATATACCTTATCCCATTAAAATATATAAATCAATAAATTATTATATAATCTATATTTTTTTCTGTTATATATTCACATATAATTAAAAATCAAATTTCACATTCTAAATAGTTTTAAAAAAAAAATTCTTTGTTATTGAATCGCCCTGAAAAATGTTTGCATTTGGCGTGATTCAATTGAAATCTTATAGAAATTTTTGTAAACTTTTAATTTAATGAAATATTCTCGAATATTTAATTCTAGTGGGCAACAGTGCAATGTCAATTTCTTCAAAGATCTTTGTTATATAAATTGATAAAATGAAAAAATATTTAATATACTTTCTTATTATAAATTATGTTCTTATTTATACCTCGGTAATATTTTATGAAAATTCTTTCCAGTTCTAAACTAATTCTAATTTATAATAGTTACTCATAATTTATTTTTATAATTGTGAGCATAGTTTTATTAGCATTTTTGACAGATGTTTAAATTTATACTTCATTGTTAAATTTAGGCTAACATTAAAGTACTATCGCATTCACAATTTGTAACCAAAATTTGATAAAGAGAACTTAAATTAAAAGTGTAATCTAGATTTTTAACACTTTTCTTAAATTTGGAAAATATCGAATTTTAAATAAAACGAAAATCGTTATCATAATTTTTATTGTGAATCTTGCGTGGAAAATTAATTAAAAAATATTTATAATTTTTAATATAAAAGAATTCCTTACAATTAGGTAATTTTACAAGGACTTAGAAAATGAAAATAAAAGTAATTTGTTATGTATTATTTATAGGTACTAAGTGTATATTAATAATATGTTCATAAAACTTTCAAAATGTGTAGTTTAAATATTAATAAAATGTTATTTACACTAACAATTTAAAAAGTTTTATTATATTTTAGTAAATTAAATTTCAATCCCTATATTAATAATTCATACATGCTATATTAAAATATTTCATTCTTTTTACTCTTTCGAAAATAGCTTTATCACATTATAAATGTCTTAATGAAAAAAATTACAACGAAAGTGGACAATATAAGTAACAATAAGTGTGATGTTTTTTTAATAATGTAAAATTATTATTATTAAGTACATTGTTAAAAACAAAAATTCCTGACTACATTCGACGATAAATAATCTCAATATACATTTAAATCATATTTCGTAATAATTGTATATATTTTTATATCATATTTCGTAAGAAGTGTTATTAATATTGTTTACGTAATATTAATTTATGAATGTTTAAATATTAAATGGATTTTTAATATTTTATATATTAACTCTGTAATCTTGTAAAATTAATGTAATTAGTCCTAATGTATCGTCTAAAATGTTGACTCTAATTGAATAGCATTTTTCCTACTACTCTTATAGATATTTAGACACGTTAAATAGCATATTTCTTGTCAATTGACAAACGAATATATTATTATTACTTTTGGAATAGACGTTGGTACACATAATATACTCAGAGTCAGATTGAGTGAATACGTAAATCTAAGGTCTAATCAAAAAAGTCGTGCCGCAAATTAAAAAAGAAAAACATTTGACTTAAAGAAATTTGTAATCATTTCTTATTGAAGCATGCTGTTTATAAATCGAACGAAAATAAGTACAATTATCATAAGTCAGCTTTAAAAAATTTGTAGAGAAATGTAAGTTTTGATTATACAAGTTTCACATGAATAGAGCTGGAAAAACCGTTTTAAATTTTAAATTATTCGTTGGGCGAATAAAAGTTGCTACATTAATTAAATGTTCAGTGTAGTAAAAAGTAATAATAATTTTTATTCTCGAATAGGACGTTAAAAGAACGACGCACCGAGGTTTGTATCTCAAACTGAGACAACACAACTATGTATTGATTGAAGACTTATACCCATTACGATATCATCTAGAAGTAAAATTAAATGAAAATGCTATTCGCATATTACAAAAAGTATAGACTGAACGATCGAAACACTCGATATTGAACACTTTTGTCAGACCCCGGAATGTACGGGATGGTGTTGAATTATAATTATAGATCTGAAAACAATTATGCTGTTAATTAGAAAAATGTAGGTCATTTTTAAAATTTTTAGTGTCTAAAGTTCGCAGAAATCATAAACTCCTGGTAAAGATTAAAAAATATATCTATTAGCTGTTGTACAGCGTAGGTAGATATATATTATATAGTATTCGTTTATGTACGAAGTCTATACGGACGTGATAAGCAGTGTGCTGAAATTATTGAAGTACCAAGAGCTGTGTATAAATGTTATCTAAATAAATATAAGTTAAATAAAATACCAACTTGTAGTTAATACCTCGTATTTTGTGTTCTCGATTCAAACTTTTAATGAACATTTTATACAACCATTGAGAAAAATTCACGAGTCTTTAAGTATCGATTTTCCGGCAGAATGATCGAGGAAACTTTAATGCATTTAATTCGATGCTCTGAAAATGTGTTTTCTTAAAAAAATAAAAATGTAAACCGTCACATCGTTGTATAACTGATATACCTTCCTTTCGGAGTCAAAAAAAAAATAAATAACGTTACAACGTTGAAGCCAATTTCACATTCAGAACATTGCACTAATAATAATACATTGCCAATGTGCAGTCGACAATACTGGTTGTTCATCAAGTTGAATAATATATTGTTTTTAGACGTATGTTAATCACAATGAATTTCTATCTTATGGAATAACAAATGTCCGATTTTCTTCGCTGGTCTGTTATAGAAAAATTAAAAATAATCGATAGACATATAGTTTATAATTACACAAATAGTTATTTATCTCGTGGAAGCCAATTTATTTTATAACA